AAAGGCGCGGAGGAGCAAACCCCAATCGTGGAAGGGTATCTGCCCTCGTAGGAAGACCCCTACAATAGGAAAATATCTATGTATGATTGTATGATGAGTTATAGACTGTGTGGTGAGTTATAGACTATATATGATTAGTTATAACTCAAGAAAGGGCAATGCAATAGAACTTTAAGATAGCCGTGATTAACCCCCCCCCCCTTTATTCTATATTCACTTACGTTCACTTCGGTTACGTACCTGGTACGCAATTAAATATCGTATAAGCAGGGTGCAAAAAATCATGATTTATTTAAAAAAATCGATTTTTTAAATTTTAATCAGGTTTAAAATTTTAATCGGATTTTTTTTTATTTTAGTCAATTTTCTATTGAGAGTCCTATCCTAAATGGCTAAATCTTTCTAACTCTGTCCGATATTAACAATATTAACATTTTTACGGGGCGTGTCGTTTTTCCTCATCGGTCACCAATATATTTTATTCTATAAACTTTGCCGATACCCCTGTTTTCGCAAAAAAAATCGTCTGCTTACATCAAAGGGATTTTTTTTGGAAATCGTCATGACTGTCTTAAGTCGAGAATAAAATTAGTACCATATAATGTTGAAAGTGCAAAGTAGGGTAGAAGCACCGGTTGTGGCCAGGTTAAGGGATTTTTAGAGTTTGACTTATCAGAAAAAATATTTGTAGTTAATTTTGGAGATAAAGCAACATTTTTGGTGTTTCTTCAAACATTTTTCTTTCAAAATCTGCTTTTATTGTAAAGATTTGTATTCTTAATAAACAGAAAATAAGCATTTTATGAAAACATACGATTTTTCCCATTTGTGGCCATCTTGTGCCAAATGTGGCCACATTCTTGCAAAAATATTCTCTAGGTAATGTTAAGGGAGGACCAAATTGATCACTTGCGCTGGCAACCATCAGGGTTGTTACATTATCTTTCTCAGAGGTAGTAGTAACGTCATAGACCCCTTTCCCTCTTGCCCCTAGGACTAAATTGCCTTTAGGTGATAAAAAAATCGCTGTTTCGTCCAGGTTAAAAATTCTATTTGGGTGGTTCAGAATTTCGATGTCAGGACCTAATTGCTGCCGCACCTCTTCAAACCGTTGCCTGATTTTTGTTTCCGTAACAGCCGCTCTTGCTTGGTTTATGTATTCCGAATGTTTTCTAGATACTTCCGGGTTTCTAACTAGGAAAGACTTAAACCACTTGTCTCCAGGAACATTATTCTTGAAGAGAGTCGGTATTTTAAATTTTTCTATTAGCTTTTGAACCAAATGTAGAAGACCTTCTCGATTAATCGGAAACCCTTTTGCCGCCTGATGAAGAATCCACTTCACCAATTTTTTTTCAACTTCTAACCCAAGTACTGCAGTTGGGCCAACTCTTCTACAGCTATCTGAAGTTTTACCTGACAATCTATTTCGCACCGAAGTCCGGGGCACTTTAAACTGTTTGCACGCTGTTGACACAGCCATATTTTGTTCACGGATGGCATTTAACGCTGCTTCCATATCTTGTGAGTAGTTGAAAAGAACCCTTTTTTCTGCCATCAGAAAATTTTTAAATTACCATAAGGTAATTCCGGGGGAGATGGTCATACGGGAGAGATAGTCAAATTATTTTTATATCATGCCTAAATAGGTATAATTCTCATATTTCAAATAAATGTTATTTTTTAAAACTACAAATAGGTTGTTTATTTAAAAAGAAATCGACTGGCCTTCTCTCCCGTATAACCATTTCCCCCGAAATTACTCTAACTAAAAAAGACAACATCGAAAAGGTGCGGTTTTTACACGGTTTTTAGTATGGCCACAAATATATTTTAACTTTGCCGGTTCTGGCCATGTCATGGCCACAACTAGCAAATTGACAAAAAAATCCTATTCCAGTTGTGGTCATTTATTTTTTTTAAATTATAAGAAGAAGCCTAACCTAATACAGAATTTAAAAGGTTTAAACACCTTCATTTAACCTATTCAAAAGTTGAAGCAATAAAGTTTAAAAAATACAAAATATAGCGTGTTTACTTACACTGTGATCCTTAACAAATTCGCTTAGAATTGAGCAATTTACAGGCACTGCACTTTAAAAGCCGTTACACACAGACACATGATGCACCTATAGTTTCATTTTTCAACCTGGAGGTCGCTAATAATTGTATGTTATTATCTACGTGGTTGCACATTTGCCAAATTGACCAAATAAACCTAATATTTGGCATTCTATGCAGAAGTGGCTACAACCGGCTAAGTGGCCACATACGGGTGTTCTACCCTACTGATTGCAGAACAAAACGTCGGTAGAAATTTGGAATGAACTAGAAGATAAATTAGGGAAGGCGGAAGTTAGCTTGATCAACATTCAGCTGTTTCAAAAAGGTATAAAACAGCCTTGACTCTAGTTTATCTTTTGACATTGATTAGTCCTCGGGAATAAAAATAAAACCTGACATCAGAAACTAGTTCTGCACTAGAGTTTGCGAATGAAATGTATTCAAATATCGGATTTCTGGCACTTCACAGTTTCAAAATAAATCTCTTTTATTTAGAAGGGTAATGAATTTACCAGAAATAACTTCAAAAATCGGCCCAACATTTTAATAGATGAATAGACATTAGGGATATGTGTTATGTTATATCTTTTACAATTACTTTTCGATCTATTAAAGTATTTTAACGTTACAACAGCAAGTGTAACTTTGTACTTATTTGATGAATAGATATAGGGTATATTAAATATAGAAATGACTTTTTTATAGCTTTATAGGAAAAGTTTTAATAATTTTTACAGTTATTTTTACAGTTTTGATTTATCATAAGTTTTTGAACAAGTTGATTATTTTGATTTAAATCTATGATTAAAATAAAAAAAATCCATTGATTTAAATCAAGTTGATTTAAATCATTGCACCCTATAAGTAATTTAAAGTTAGTCTTGTCACCAAATTTAGTGTCGATAATTACCTTGACCAGGCAATCAAGAAAAAGTTAATATTGATATTGTAGTATTCAGTTTTTAATGTAGTTAAAACAGCAGCTTTTGTTACAAAATTTAAAGCTTTTGTATTACGATAGACAAATTCAAAAATTAGAAGAAAATGAGTTTCACTTTAACTTTGTAAAACAAAATCACATAATATATCACTGATACAATGCTATAGCTTACAGCAAAACATTCCGAATTTATGAAATTGATAAATAACCAGCATAATTAAAAAATATAGTAACACTCCCTGAATGATTTTTGAAATCGTAAAACCAGAAAAGCTATTCTGAATTATCGACTTTATTTTGTTAATAGAAATAAAGATGTTATAGTTTTTCTAAAGTTAATTGGAATAGATTGGGACTTTTAATTTCTGCACTGTCTTTGTCGACGCCTTTGTCGGCGTCGCGCGTCGTCTCAAAGTCTCGATGAAGGACTTAAAAATCTAGTACTTCCAATTGATTTCGGACTTTCCAATATACCAAAAAGTATTTTAATATTATAAATACAGAGCAAGAGAAAATCTCCTTCAGAGATCACATTTATATCCACGACCTAGGTATTTTTTGTTTGTGTCAAAGAATGTACAGTTATTTACAGTACATGTTACATATTACAATAGTCAATAATACATGATCAAAATATATCTAAATGAATAAAACACATTATATTGACTATAGATGAGGGTTTAGTTAAAAAATGTACAATATAACCAAAAAAACGAAGTCTGCTTTATATGATGACATAAGACAAAGCTGATGGGACATTCATTACATTTCTTTAACAATCAAAGCTCATTTGATCAGAAAATTTTTTGAATAAGCGGTACCTTGGTATTTTTATAGAATTTGATTTTAAAGCAGTAATTGTGACAGTAATTTTATTGCTAATCTGTAGTTTAATGCTGGTTATGTAGTTTATATAATATTATCATTATCATTCTACAGTTTTCTTTTATAACATTAACATTATGTGTAGGTAGTAAAAAAAACTATTTTTTTGTTTAATATTTGTAATCTATTTTCCCACTCTGTAAATGGCGGAAGTTGTTAAGTGCTATCAATCTATAGTTCATATCAAATAAACTTTTAGTCACGTGATTAAGCTTGACCGGCACAGCGTTGGCCATTTTTACATATTTTTTTTTTAAATGAAATATTTTCGGAAATAAAAATAAATTAATTATAATCAACGGTTATTATTACATCAACAAAACTCTTCTTAACGGCACTTAAGGTACAGTACGTCTGTCCATTCTATAGCTACGGGGTATCCGTGAGAGGGGAAACGATATTCTCTCTATGTTTTTCGTAAAAAATTAGACGATGCGTCCCATCAATAAAAATTCGACAAATTTGCAAGTAGCCAATAAAATGAGTTGGCGGAGCGATTTGCGGTGACGTACTCGTCAAGTCGACATATAAAATATATTGCTGTTTATTTAAATGTTTTTTTGTCCGCATTCCCTTCATAGACACAGATCCAGCAAACGTACTGTACATAAAGGGTCATTACTACCGCTTTTCCGTTCAAAATATTATAATAAAGTTGCGATGAGTTTTTTTACGGCTATGAAGCTAACTTGTACACTTCGCACTAAAAGAGATTCAAAAAAGACTGTCTGACTGACAGATCTGCTAGTAAATATTTTTAAGCTTAAAGTGATACTTTTACACAATTCATTTAAACCAAAAACTCGTAATACAAAATTAAAGTGTCAAAACGAATGACAATGTCAGGAAATAAATGAATAAATGTGGCAACTTGACATTTTTTACAGCAGAGCCACCACCTGAATCGCCAGTGGGAAATTTAAATTCCAGTTAGTCAGCCCGGCGCCGAATATGTCTGTGGTTGGCAACAATGATTTTAAAAATCGCGCCCCGGATTACGTAACTAAAAGTTTAGTTGGTATCAGATAAAGATTTCTACTGACTAATTACCATAATTGGTTGATTATATTGCTTAGATTTGTTTTACTAATCCTTGTTTGTTTTATTGCAGGAAGGGGCATGAGTGAACTGGGTGTAGTTCGATCTAGTCCTGACTCAGACTGCAACAGTAACCTCAAAGGCTCATGTCTCAGTACTACTTCATCACAGGACGTGGATTTCATTCAAGACAACTCGGACTACCAATGGTTTTTAGATTACGGGTGAGTAATGTATGATCTACTGGATTATATAAAGATTTTTGTTGATTATACAGGATGTTTCAAAAAATGTGTGCCATCTCTCTCGTGGGGAGATTCCTCACTTAAAAATAAGATTTATTTTATATATATTTGTTTCGATTTATTATAACTTTCTTCGAGTACTTTTAGCGATTCGAATGGAATTTTGAGGTCTATTTTTTTAGTACTAAAAAAGTTTCGACAGATTTACCACGGACGTGCATATGGCTTATCACTGGAATATTTTTCTAAGAAAAAACATGTGCGCCACTGACTTTTTTCTATTCTTAGGAAAATTGTATAGGCCGTTTAATGCCCACTAAAAATTGTACCATGATATGTTGTCGATTTCGATCTCCTTGGTGAGATAACCGCAATTTTATTAATCACATTTAATAAAATTAATTTAAAAATAAAATAAATATATCTTATGATTAAAAATAAATCTTATTATTAAAATTTATTAAGTGCTACCGAGGGGTATCTCATTGTTGGCATTCCATGTACATTTTCTTGGCAGTCGCTGGCAGTTGTTGGCATCAGTCTTATAAGGCAGTCATAGGCAGTCTTTTTCAAAAAAAAAAAAAGTGATATTTTCGCAGCACATGTACCGGGTGTCCCACTAAGAATAGGTCTCGGCTGTATCTCGAAAAGTATTAGCCGTAGAGGCTGCGGAAAAAAATATTTATAACTAAAGAGGCTATGAGAAATTTCTGGAAATTATTTTCAAGTTTGTAGAACGACCGCTAGGGGGCGCAACTGCAACAAAAAATAAGAAAATGCAGTTTTTTTGCCTAGATAAGGTGTACTATTATAAGTAATAGCTTCATAATCTCCAGTAAATTTTGAATATTTTTTTGTTAGAGCCATTTTCCTCTATCTACCAAAATAAAGTGGTGGGGGAAGGTTAGATCTGTTTTTATTTAAATATTAATAACTCTGGACTGGATGATCGGAATCCAACAAGCGAGGGCTCGTTTAAAAGAGCGTTTCTTACTCTATATTATACCAAATAAACAATAATAATAAGCTTTTGAACGTAGACGCTAGGGGGCGTTGTCTTACAATTTAACTAACATTGTGCGTTTTTTTCAAAAAAATTAAATACAATAGTATATGTAATTTTAGCTGATCGGGAAGAGTAGAAAAAGCTTAAAAAGTCAGCGAAAACCGCATCTTGATATCTTCTTTCAAACTGAAGATATTAGCAAAATTATAATAAATACCAAAAAATAAGCCTTTAATTACCTTATTTTTACAACACGGTATCAGTAGCCCTCTTGATTATGCCCATTCTAACAAAAAATAAAATAGAAACGGTTAATTTATTTTAAAATCGACGAAATACCAGAATACCATAATACCAGATGTATTAATATCTAATAATTAAGATATTAATAACAGTGAACAAGAAATGATGATTCAGTCATGGTAGGCTTTGGAAAAAAGTTGTTTTTGACGTAATAGTATAAACGTCGAATTGTTATTAGATCAACATTTTGATAGCCTTCGCAGCGTTTTTTATTGCTTTTATTATTTGAAGCAGTTGAAGTTGTTGGCATTTTGAAAAATCAATCAAAAGATAAAAAACGCTGCTAAGACTATCAAAATGTTGATCTAATAACAATTTGACGTTTATACTATTACGTCAAAAGCAACTTTTTTCCAAAGCCTACCATGACTTCACTGAATCATCGTTTCTTGTTCACTGTTATTATTATCTTAATTATTAGATATTAATACATCTGGTTTTATGGTATTTCGTCGATTTTAAAACAAATTAACTGTTTCTATTTTATTTTTTGTAAGAATGGGCATAATCAAGAGGGCTACTGATACCGTGTTGTAAAAATAAGGTAATTAAAGGCTTATTTTTTGGTATTTATTATAATTTTGCTAATATTTTCGGTTTGAAAGAAGATATCAAGATGCGGTTTTCACTGACTTTTTAAGCTTTTTCTACTCTTTCCGATCAGCTAAAATTACATATACTATTGTATTTAATTATTTTGAAAAAACGCGTAATGTTAGTTAAATTTTAAGACAACGCCCCCTAGCGTCTACGTTCAAAAGCTTATTATTATTGTTTATATGGTATAATATAGAGTAAGGAACGGTCTTTTAAACGAACCCTCGCTTGTTGGATTCCGATCATCCAGTCCAGAGTTATTAATGTTTAAATAAAAACAGATCTAACCTTCCCCCACCACTTTATTTTGGTGGATAGGGGAAAATGAGACTAACAAAAAATATTCAAAATTTACTGAAGATTAAGAAGCTATTACTTATAGTACACCTTATCTAGGCAAAATTGTGTAAAAACTCCATTTTCTTATTTTTTGTTGCAGTTGCGCCCCCTAGCGGTCGTTCTAGAAACTTGAAAATAATTTCCAGAAATTTCTCATATCCTCTTTAGCTATAAATATGTTTTTCCGCAGGCCCTACAGCTAATACTTTCCGAGATACAGCCGAGAGCTATTCTTAGTGGGACACCCTGTACATTTTTTACCCACATATTTTAGTACTAAAAAAGTGTCGACAGATTCATCAGTTATTGCGTCTTTGCACAAAAGAAATACAATTAAATACAGCACAAAATTTCCAAAAAATATAACAAACATCCACTTTCTATCTCCTCCCTAACGGGAGATATTATATGAGAAACATTAAAGTTAGGTTGCCGCTTAAGCCTTTAATAACATAATTACAAATTATAAGTAGGTATGCTAGGAAATAAAAAGAGGTAAATTAGGGGAGTGCTTTAAGCCCTTATTAGATACAAACCTCGGAATTCATTTACTGTGAACGAATTTTTATAAGATTTTCTGCATTGTGTTGTTAATAAGATATATTATAAAGTTTACCAATTTAAATTCGTTGCTTTCAATTTAGTATTTAAATAAACACACATATACAAACGCATACATACATGTATGCGTTTGTTTATGTGTGTTTATATTGCAGATGGCTCCGTGTTCCGAAAAAGTTCTGGTCAGTATTCCTATTTGAGATTTTCACTCCAGACCTTTTACAAAATATGTGTTTAATGGTAGTTCACATTTCAAAAATATTTTTTATAGATATACAGGGTGAGTCAAATATATTTTTACACTTAAGTTTTAGTTTTTCCAAAAATACCTTAATACCATAGAGTATACTGAGTGGTTTTTGAATTATGACCAGGTCCATGAGGACGTCAATCTAGACGTCCAGGAACCTTCGTATGAGGACTTCTAATCGAGACGATCGACTTATTGTAAGTTTATCGCTAAGAAACTGCCGTTTGCCAGCTTTTCAAATTTATAATGAACTGCACCTAAGGAACGTACATATTAACTAACAGACTATAAGAAGAAGACTAAATGAAGCAAATCTTATGTCAAGAACGCCTGCTTCGGGACCAGAACTTACTAGATCTGTTGACTACGATCAAAAGCAAAGGCATGGTCTTAATGTAAAAATTACGAAAACATGTTAGTGTCTTATTCAAAAGCGAATATCTCCATCAAAAATAAAGCTATTGAGGTGAACCAAAAAACAAACTATCGAGAAAGGATGTATTTGGATGATAAAATGATTTTTAAATTTCTTGTTGTTTTAACATATTCCACAGGGTATTTCAAACTTTCACCAAAATATCAACATTTCGTTTTCCCTCGTATAATTAACAGATGGGGAGTTTCATTTTTAATTTATAAAGAGATACTAAAAAATCAAATAATTTGGCTACATACTGCCTAAAAAATCATCAAAATCGGTCCACTGAAACAAAATATACTAAACTATCAAAGTTTTAAGGTGACAATTTTTCGTGACGTGAATGTATTTCAAAAACTATACATTTTAATCATATACTTTTCTAATGAAACTCGCCTTTATTTTTTACTAGAATCCTAAAATCAATTAATATATAGGGTGTTCCATTACAGAAAACATAACTTTGATGTGTAACTTTTTTTGGGGACACCCTGTAAAACTCTATATCATTTTAGAAAATATAAGGTCACAAAATTTCACTTCAATATAAACTTTTGTTCTCTTTGCAAAAACCGCGTCGTATATGATGCGCCACCCTGTATAATTCGATTTCAATCAAAATTTCAATGATTAGAATATAAGCAGAATAGGTATAGCTTACGCATTAGATTCATTTATTTCAATAAATTTACTTAGAAAAAAAAATAAAAATTAAGAAGGAACTAAGAATTTACTAAAATTACTAAAATAAAAAAATAAAAGCAACGAAAAAAAATGGGTAAACATTTTAGTATTTTATCTATAAAACACAATATAGAAGGTTTCACATTAATACATTCACAATAATTGAATTCCGAGGTAAAAGTCTCTGGGCACTCCACTATACAGGGAGGCGCACCTCATTCGCCTCGGTTGATTATAAGAAAACGGAAATATTTCGTTTCTATATCTTCCCGTTTTCGTATAATCAACCGAGGCGAATGAGGTGCGCCACCCTGTATAGAAAAAGTCAAAATTTTAAAATATTTTAGTTTCATTTTAATGCCATTTACCTAATTGCTATTTATCCATGCTCGTCTTGATTCGACTCCATAAATAAAAACCCAGGCATGTTAAATTCGGTGACCTAGCTGACCATGGAAATATGCCGCTCCGGTGTCTCTATCTACTAAAGTAAATGGTATCCAAGAAGCCCCACCGATTCATAGCAAAATAAGCCGCACAACTGCATCAATTGAACCAGCATACCGGAATAGCAACAAACGCAATTTCATCATGATGGATCCACTAACAAAACTGGCAATAATTCTTTTCTTAGAAATTGTGGATAGTTCGTTCCATTCAGATGATTATAAAAGTACAATCATTCGCCCTCTTAAGGATTTCTGCCCAAAGATGTATCGATCAACGGTCTTGGTGCTGAACTACTTGCATCAAGGGTAGATTTATTTTGTACAGGAAGTGCATATTGTTACAATTTACACCTTCGTTGCTACATGAAAAGT